AGCCCTTATGATTTATGGAACAACAACAACTATGGGGGCTGGTAAAACAAACTGGACCAGCGACGATTTGGTGCTCACTGTACAGCCAATAGTTGTTCAGATCATACATTGCAGGGCTGGAGACAACATTTGGTACTCACTAAGCCTGCAACAGAATGAAGAATTCACCTCTGTCCAACAAATCCACTGTTAATATAATGCTTTCCAAGTAATCCAGCATCCTACCCAATTCAGGGCTGCCGGCCTACAATATCTGGTTTCCCACTTGATGGCAGAAAAATTTCCACTCATGAGTTGTGATTACTCCAGCCAGAAAAAAAAAAAATCTGAAATGGTCAAGATTAAAGACTTCATTCAATGCTACTCAACAAGAAATATGATACCATACTAAGTTAGCTTGTGGTGACGCCCTCCTACTGTCATCCAAATATGGGGCTATCGGCAGGGTGCATTTTAGAGAGAATTTCAACAAGGCCATTAGCAAGGTTATAGACTGGAATATCTTCTTAGCTTAGGGGGTTTGAATGACACCTGGCAGTGACAGGAAATTATTATGAATCATGTGGCCACAGTTGAGGTACAAAAGGGGTTTTCCTTCAAGATTTCCCCCCACGGTTTGTCTCTACAGATAATCCAATTGTTCACAAGAATTATCTAAGAAAGAAACAAGTGAATTGAATCCAGTAATGGGCACTATCGCTATCAGTCTACCATATGCACAAAGCTTCTTAACTATTCGAGGCAACAGATAAGAGTAGATAGTCATGTTCATCTATCTCAAAGTGAAAAGATAGCACGTGTCACTCAAAAAGGATATGAATGGCAGGTATGGCCAATGAGACATTCCACAGTTTTTCTGGGTTAGGAAGACTATTTTAAATTAGAGTACCTACCCAGTCTATCATGTACATCAAGTGGCACTTAGCATTCAAACTTGCATTCTCTCAGAACTAGACAGTCTCTCACCTCTGAAAGTTTTTGTGCAGCTTCTGGTTTGAACTTCTCATCATACTTGAAACTATATGAACATTAACCTCCTATAGATGCGAATGCTTGCAGACTTATGCCGTGCTAGTCAGAAATTACCATTCTCGGGGTATACCAGCTTCATAATGAGCCAGATAGTTGAATGGTCCCTTCAGTACAACGTCGTATTCCTTTATCAAGTCTATAATGTTGAAGTGAGCATTCCATTAGTCAGCATGATCTTGTATAAGCATAGATCACACTAGGAGATGGGCAAACCTTTATAAGCATATATCATGACACATCATTTGGCATAGCATACTTTGAAAAAACAATACAGACCTAAGGGAACATGTGCAAGCTCTTCCTCTGGTACACTTGCCACAATGTCTGCAGATCGATGGTCCCCAGAACCAAATAACATTTGGACTAATTTTGGTCCAGCATCAAGGCCCCTGCCTTCCTATCAAGGTTCTAAAAATCAAGAATCGGTAGATTTTAACAATGTAAAGTTCTTCAGGAAGCATTCTCACCTAAAACATGGAACCTACACCTACTAGTGTACATAATAACAGAACATTCAACTATACAGAGACATAACATGTAATATTAATCTCCTGAACTCAATATTTTTTAAACATTATGGAGATAGAAAAAATATAAAACTTTTAAGATTAGCAAAGTACAGAACATAACCCGATTACCTGATAGACAAATTCAGGCTTGCTCACTAGCTCATGTGAGTTATCAATCAGCAAAATTAGCATCCTCTGTAAGCCAGATGAGAAATATTCATCCAAAATCTTTCTAGAATAAACAGTTCATAAATTAAGCTAGTTCCATGAAACATGAATTTTCTCTACACTCTTAAAGAGTCTGCTGATTTTGAAGAATTTACCAAAGCTATTGGCCATTAATGCAAATGATTGCTGCATTAATGTAAAATATACCTGGCCCATATATGCTACGTTCTGGGTGATTGCACAGCATCAGAGCCATCTGCTGATGAACTTATCTGTGCCGTATCTGCACATGCTCCTTAAGGTAAATTCATGTTCTCCAAATACTTCCGAACCAAACTTTTATAAAGAAAAATACAGAATTCAAAAGATTTTCTTGGTACAATATATTCAAAGTAAGAGAACATTTGCCACTAGAGGACGAGCCTGAGTCACTGCCACAGCTTCCAGAACTACTTGATCTACCAGCATTCTCTCCCTTCTGATCTTCCAAATGACCAGGTGATGATTCACCCACGTATCTCTCATTGTCATCTGTAGTTGACTAAACTGAGTTGGTTCTTTCATATTGATAATATCACAAGCAATTTTTCTATTCTTCTTGTTCTCAATTATCTTTTGGCGGTATTTATGTAGTTGAGTCCTTTACGTTCATAATAGCATCCAAAAATATGATGACATTATCACAAGAAATGCTCAAACTACCAAGAAAACATTTGGTAAAATATTAACTAGAAACAGAAATATAGAAGTTAACCAAATATTACAAAATTGTCAATACGGTTATTCTGGTCTAGTAACAAGCAAACATACATGACACCATATTCTCACACATAGCCTTTCAGCAGTTACAGTGAACTAGAAACATCAACATATTGAACACTGCTTCAACAGAAGATATTACAGCACAAGCAATAACAAGCACAGAAGCTGTTAGGCATCTACCAGACATAGCTAGTACATTGACTTGTATAGCTATTGTTTGCTTCAGTGATGATCTAGGAAAATGGAATGAATCATGTTGTATAATGCATATCATAAGGATATCTTGCAAATGTCCTCGTATTCGACAGCCCTAATAACCTTCCCATCATAGAGGCCTTTCTCAACCTGCACTTTTGCACAGAATTTCTGTGTGTCCACTGAGAGCAACCTGGCATTTGACCCCCGATAAGCCCCATTTACAATCCGAACCAGCCCACCAATCTGAGGGATCACAGTCTCAAGCTCATCTTGGTCGACCCTAACAACATGCTTGCTCTCCAACATCTCAATCTCCCCAACATATTTGTCGATAACTTTCTTCACCGCCCCTTTCTGCTTGTAGTACCCCTTCTCTGCCAATGACTTGCTCATCACCTTGACCACAATCCCAGGGCACAGCCAGTAGTCCTTTCTATTGCTCCTCTCCTTGGCCTTCTCCTCTTCCTTCATCAGCTCGTCCAATGCTGACCTCCTTGCCTCTGCTGCCTTCACATCATTTCCCTTCTTCTTGGCCACCTCATCCTTCTCCTTCTCTTGGGTACCCAATTCATCCTCTTCGTCAAAACCGAATTTCATCTTTGGCTTATCCTCAAAAGGATTTACCTTGGGACCTGGCATAGCCTTCTGAAGTGCAATCGCGATCTTCCCTGTTGCCTTGTTTGCCTCTTGCGAGTCATCCTCCCGCTCCTCCCCATCATCATCCGAACCTGAATACTCTTCTTCACTGCCGGACTCAGACTCACCCTCGGCAACATCACCATCATTGGGTTTAGCTAAGGACTTCTGCGCACGCTCAATCTGGCGGGCAATCATGAGCTCCTGGCGCTCGTCCTCAGCCATGTCTGACTTGATCCTCTTGCGCTTGAGGCGGTCCTTGACGGCCTGCTCCGAGTCACGGTCGATGTAGGTCATAAACCATCCCTTGGGCGTGTCCTCGACCTTGCAGTATCCCTCGCGCCCCAGGAACTTGACGAACTCGGTAAGCGTGGCCCACCGCGTGGAGTTCATGTGGACATGGTGCCGGTCGGCGATGTACTCGTTGTAGACGACGGTGGCGGCGACGCGGGAGTGGCGGTGCGCGCGGCGGATGAGGGAGAGGAAGGACTCGAGGAACTCCTCGGAGAAGCCCTCGACGACGCGGTCGGGAGCCATGCCGAACACCTGCATCTGCCGCTGGTGCGACTCCGACATGCAGTGGCACTTGAACCCGTTCTCGTCGCGGCACTGCTTCTGGCACATCTGGCAGTACCACCGCAGCTTCTGCAGCCCCTTCGCCTTGATCCGGTTCGCAATCGCCTTCGGCGTCAGGAACTCGTGCTTCCCCATCGCACCGCCGCCACCGCCCCTGCCGCACAAGTAGTAGAAAGAGGAGAGTAGGTTAGTTCAGGAGACGCGAGGCGACCAGGTGAGCGCTGTTAAAGCAGCGGTGGTGGCGACCGGAGAAGAGGCCGGCGCCGGCGAGTTTGGGGAGGCGTGTGTGAACGGACTGGATTGGCCGATAGGGTTCTTTTTTTTCCTTTTTGATTGAAGCCGACGATAGGGGGGCTTTTAGGCCTTCCGCAGTGGGAAGTAGAGCCAGAAAATTAAGTGGGTCCGACTGCCCTGGTAGGTGTAGCGTGTAAAAGAGTTAGCACCGATGCTATCTTCTATCGTGCGACGGTACAGGTGTTGTCTATTGACTTTCATCTGACACCAACATATGCTCTTTTCTCACAGAACACCAGAAATATTGTTTTAAAGTCCCCAAGCAACGCTGCCTCTACTTGCTCCGCTCCAGAATCTTTGAAAGTTGGCATTGATAGCTGCAGGGCAGAGAGTGATGCCTGGAAGGGAGAGAGAAGGTTTGGGTATCACTTTAGGAGCACATTGCGGAGGGCCTTAGACCTGAACAAATTCGGCCCAGCCCACGAGGCTTAATGGACAAGACCTAGACACAGGTTTTTCTGCCTAGAAATTTTTTTCTCGATCTAAACCTGATCCAAAATTTTTATTTTAATTATTTTATCACTGAAAATGCACCGACGGCCCAAGCCTGACCTAAAAAATCAGGCTCCGTCCAATAGGACAATAGCTGGGTTTTTTTTCCCGACCCGCAAAATGCTATGGTGTAGAGGCTTTGTTTAGACATTGGGATTTTATGGGCTCCTCGGGCGAGCAAAATGTAGCCCCCACCGCTCAAAGATGAGGGGACTGGTTCTATATTTGGCCTTACGAGTGATAAGATGTGAACTATAATTTCTCCACCGTTTATAGAATTGGGGTGGAATCATATACCAGGTGGAGGCAAGAGAGACTGTGAGAGAGAAAATATTTTTTATTTCATATAACCTGGTTTCGTGCATAGGAGCTATTCCTCCATGGAGTCAGCCTCACAATGTAGCAGCATTTTATTGCATAGGTTCAACATAGAACCTCCCATGGTGGAGGCATGCAGCGGTCGGAGACGGAGAGGAATGGGTGGGGAAGATGCGGTGCTCAGAGGATACAAAAAACAAGTTTGGAGGAAAAAAAATAAGGTCTAAACACAAGAACTTTACAACAGATAGCGTAGAAATTTTACATGAACTAGTTTTTTTTTAGAAAAACACAAGAAACAGACAAAAAAAACCTGCAATCCAAAGGGGGTCTTAAAGAGAAAGTCTTATTGAACGACAAATGGACCCCAAAGAGGACTTAAAAGAGAGTTTTATTGAACGATAGATGGACCCTACATTTCAGATGAGACATCCCTATTAGAGCGGAAGTCTTTTAATACAAAAAAAAGGGGTAGCCTTTCCGATAACTAGTTTCTAGGGTTAGGATTTTCTATTACTGATGGAGATGCTCTTGTTGCTCCTAAAAAGTGTGCAAGGGGACAAATACAAATTTCCAGTGTTCAGTGGTAGTACATCTACATATACAGATGCTTTCAAGCAGAACCGGGGTTGTATGTAGTAGCATATAAACATAAAGAATGGCCAAAACATGGATGTATTTAGCACATAAACATAAGGATGGCAATTGGGTCGCAGGACATATGCATATGAAAAGGGCCCTATAATTAGATTATTATTATCACTGGACACAACAACCATTGGTCAGCACAGTAACTAAGACTGTATCTGCTAGTGAAGAATTATGTTAGAAGTTTAGCACTAATATACAAGGGCAAGAAGGACCCCAGCTGTACAAAAACTGAAACGGTCAGGACTATCAAAACACCTTGTTGAAGGCTCTTCTAACAATAAGAGCAATGCTAAAAGATTGGAGAGTCCAATGTGACATTATAATCTGAGCAAGATACATCTTATCTTAGAGATGAAACAAAAATCAAGGGGGCACTTATATATGATTTATGGAGCATCAACAACTTTGGAGGCTGAAAGCTACAGTTTAAAACAAACTGGGTCGAGTCAAAGACCAAAAAAAATATAGAGGGTGGGTTAGGGCGATAGGCATCATGGGCGCACACGAGCATTTGGTGCTCACTGTACAGCCAATAGCACTGCTTGTTCACATCATAGATACAGAGCTGAACACAATATTTGGTACTCACTAAGCCTGCAGCAGAACGAAGAGTTGACATGTGTCCTACCAATCCACTGTTAATTCTGTTCCAAGTAATACAGAGCCCTAGTTTCAAAAAAAAAAAAAGGTAATCCAGCATCCTAATGGTACCAGTTCACGGCTTCCGGTCCAGCCTACAATATCTGGTTTCCCTGTTATAAAAAAAAATCTGGTTTCCCACTTGACGGCAGATAACTTTCCAAGCATCCGCTGATAGGTCTAACACGCTTTGATGATTCCTTATCTTTTCACTCCATCCAGACAAAACCTGGAATGGTCAAGTTTAAAGACTTTATTCAATGCTACCCAACAAGAAATATGACAATATACTGAAGTTAGCTTTTGGTAATGTCCTGCTATTTGTCATTCAAATATGGGTCTATGGGCAGGGTGCATTTAAGAGAGAATTTCAACAAAACCATTAGCAAGGTTAGAGACTGGAATATCTCATTGGCTTAGGGGATCTGAATGACATTGACAGGAGATCATTATGGACCATGTGCCCATAGTTGAGGTACATAAGGGTTTTTCCTTCAAGAGTTCAAGATTTTCCCACTTGATTTGTTTCTACAGATAATCCAGTGTTCACAAGAATTATCTAAGAAACAAGTGATTTGAATCCAGTAATGGGTGCTATCAGTCTACCATATGCACAAAGCTTAACCATTCGAGGCAACAGAATATAGTAGATAATCATGTTGATCTATCTCAAATGAAAGTGAAAAGACAACATGTGTCACAGGATATGAATGGCAGGTATGCCATGGCTAATGAGATATTCCGTAGTTTTTCAGGGTTAAGAAGACTAATTTAAATATGGTAAATAATTAGTAGAGTGCCTACCCAGTCTCTCGTGTACATCAAGTTGCACTTAGCCATTCAAACTTGCATTCTCTTTCTCCATCTCAACAATACAAGCTAGTCTGTCATGGACCTGTCAAGGACATGTTGCCAGTTTAGGTTCATAGCAAAACATCATCATAAAAAACTAGACAATCTCTCACCTCTGAAAGTTTTTGTGCAGCTTCTTGTTTGAACTTCTCGTCATACCTAAAACAATATAAACATTAACCTCCTATAGATGCGAAGCCTGAAGACTTATGCGTGCTAATAAAAAATTACCATTCACGGGGTATACCAGCTTCATCGCGAACCAGATAGTTGAATGGACCCTTCAGTACAACGCCGTACTCCTTTATCAAGTCTATAATGTTGAAGTGAACATTCCATTAGCCAGCATGAACTTTTATAAGCATATATCGCAGTCTACACAATTAGGAGATAGGCAAACCTTTAAAAGTATCACCCGGTTCACGACCCATCATTTGGCATACTTTGAGAAACCAATACAAACCTACAGAAACATGTGCAAGCTCTTCCTCTGCTACTCGTGCCACAATGTCTGCAGATCGATGGTCCCCAAAACCAAATAACCTTTGCACTAATCTTGGTCCAGCATCAAGGCCTCTGGCTTCCTATCAAGGTTCTAATAATCAACATATTGGTCAATTTTGGTTAATTATAACAATGTAAACTGCCAAAGGGCGCCTAGTTCAAACGGTTAGGTGACCCAGCGGCACTCCTCAGGTCCTGGGTTCGACTCCCCGTGGGAGCAGATTTCAGGCTGAGGTTAAAAAAACCCCCTCGCCCGTCCCCATGTGCCAAAGCGCAGTGGAAGGCTCCGGCCCGGTTCTCACAGGGTTACGGCACCTCCTGCGTCAGGATTGGGGCGGGGGTTCGGGGGTTTTCTCGATCTGTGTGAGAAGATCTTCTTCTTAGTAAGAAAACCCGGGGGCCGTCATAACCCTCCGCGGGTCGAGTTTTTTTTTTTATATAACAATGTAAACTTCTTTCAGCAAGCATTCTCACCTAAAACATGGAACCTACACCTACTAGGTGAAGACTGAAGACTATTAAGTTCAACTACAAAAATTAAAGCATATACACAGGACAAGCATCACACAGAAGGAAGTGGCAGTGATGTTGGCACCTGGACCAAAGGAATCACTGCCAATCGTGCAGAAACGTCACTTGAGGACTTTGCACACTCCCTCCACAGAAGATTGTGAACAGGCATATCACCATAACTGTCCACAAAGTAACATAATGACTGACAGGCGATTTGCAAAAATGGGACTCGAAACATCGGTCGTTTGCAGATTTGACGCTGGACCCACATTCATAGACACAGATGGACCTACTTGTCATCCACCCGAGTGTCATCATAATCAAGGAGTCAATCTTTCGAGTGTCATTTTTGCAATTTTTTCAATGACTGTGAGATAGCTCATTGTTCATTAATTGTATTTATTACACTGTTGTAATAACATAAGGCTACAGTACTATCGGTGGATAGTCAATTCCCTCGTCTGACGCAGTGACACATGAATACATGATAGTACAAACATTCATACAATGGAATCGAAGAAGCAAGTAGCTGGTGCTGCATCTTTTGCGCCACTAACCTGAACCCGAGCTCGGCGAGCCGCTGCGAGTACCACCGAAAATGTCGGCTCTCGTCATCCGCCACACGCGCGAAATCGGCGAAGAACCCGTCCCCCAGGGTATCCCTGAGCGGCGCGAACCGCACGACGGTGTCCCAGGCGAGGTCGATGGCGTTGAGCTCGACGTGCGCCAGGTTGTGCAGCATGTACGCGTTGAGTGGCACCCCCATCTCCTTGTGCACAGGTGAGCAGCAACGCCCAATCATCCACCACCCACCTCCTGCTCGACGAAACGCCTCAACCTAAGACGAGGATCGGAGGACGTGCACGAGCAGCGCGAGAGGGTTTACCACGAGGGGCTTATCGGGCCTAGCGGGGTGGTCGGGGGCCGTTGCCTGTCCGACGGGGAGCCCGGCGGCCCACCGGGAGAAGGCGGCGTGGGTGAGCCGCGCCTTGGCGACGGGGTCGGCGGTGGACAGCACAAGCGCCCCCATCTCCGCCAGCGACGAGCCCGCGCCGGCGTCATCCGCCGGCTCATCGACGTCTGAGGCGCAGGGACCGTTCGGGCCCCACGTGCGGAGGTCGCTGGGTGGCGCACGGCGCCAGGCGTGGAGGCCTGGACATGGAAGCGGCGGCCGATAGCAGGCGGCGGGGTGCGGGACCGCGTGGCAGTGGGAGCAACGGTAGGCGGCGGAGCGGGTGCATTTGGCCGGAGCCGGGATAACGCGATGCGCTCGCGTTTGCGTCCACCGAAGGGTGGAAGTCTGGAAGAGGCCACAGTGGCCTGCTTGGGAAAATTTCACGAGAAATAGTACAATTGCTGCTAATTTTCTGGGAAATATGACACTCCGACCCTCCTGGACGTGAGAGTTTCATGAAAAAAAATTGTGAGTTCCTACTTGGGATGCTTTCTTTATAGCAAAGAGTGCAAGACAATAGATCACCATTCAAACTGTCAGATGCTTCTCCTTCACCACTGCAACTGCAAGGTGCACTACTGTACTCTGAGCCGCTTGGGTACTGACCTGATTCCTAACACCGATCACAAACTACAGAGATCAGATGGACTCCAGTTGGAAAGTTGGAACACATGAGCAGCTCAATCAGAAGAAGGCAGGGCAACAAGAGAGGAAGATCAATGGCAATGCAAACCTTAAAAAAACTAATGCTGATGCAAACACCAACAGAAATTACACGACTATAGCAATTGTACAATCTTACAACAGGGCGAGGCCTCCAGGTTCCTGGTCTTCACCTCACCGCTTGTTTCACTGCCCCAGTTTTGAGGTTTCCTCCTATCCAATCCCAATGTTGAGGTAACTTCCAGCTCGACGACTAGGTAAACACGGCACTCTACAGTAAGTACACAACTGCAGATAGTTGTACAGGTGAATCGGTGCATGTGCTATCTCGGGCATCCAATTTGTGCACAAAACGACAAACAGCATGGCACTGGTTAGAGTTCCTACATGACCACAATTTACAACAATCTCTAGCACGACAATTTCATGCTAGAATCCTTTGTTGAACTAAGTTGTTATGGCCTTTCCAGTGCCCCATCAACATCTGCATAGAAGGGAGTTTTACATGTCAGATTCGTCATTCATGATTGTGATCATGAAACTAGTAATAATTTAATCAGTTTATTCCATAACAAGATTTGCTAAAAACTTGCTTCAAGAGCAACAAACTTTTATGTAAAATGAGTAGTGAAACAACCTCACTGCGCAATAAAAATACCTAAATAATAACTATAAATGACAAAAAAAAAGGAGAAAGTAAGGCATAAGCGCCTTGCAATAACACTAGTAAATAGAACAAATTCCAGTCACTTAAACTTAGAGCAGAATGTGGTAATTTATCAAATCAAGCAATCTATGCTACATTTGGCTTCAGATCTGCACCCCATTATGTACTAACTAGTCAACGACTAAAATTGCTGAACTTATTCTAATTCGCCAAGGCTCTGGAGGACCTGGTCTAAGCCTCTAGGGTAGAGGGGGGAGGGACAGAATAAGACAATCAAGCACCTCAGTAAGTTTGAGAAAAGGTTAACAAAATAAAGAGGAGAAAATCAGCTATATGTTTACAACTTAACCTTTATGATACATTGACTAGTGTGGATTTGAACACAGCAAATTTTCAGGAAAAGTTATATTTTCAAATGATCCACAAAATAACTGCAGAAAACAATTATCTGAACTGGAGAACTTCCTTCCATGGGCAAAAATATTAGCAAATAGCAGTTCTCCATGGGTCCAGCATGACTACATATAAACAAATGATGAAAGGGTAGTATCAGATACACAAAAGTATATCGATACACGTGCACAAACTCAATCTCACCCCTCAAATTCAATCTGAATGGCTCAGGTGGTAAGTACAAATCTCCTCATCCCTCTTGGGCTATCATAAGTCCAATTAGATATGGTCCACTTAAAAGGTGAACAAGGTGGATAGGAGGGGTGAGATTAAGTTTGCTCACATGTGCGCCGATACACTATTGCGCACCTGATACTTCCTCGATGATGAAAATGGGAAATGATACCAAGCAAACCTACTTGAAATCCACAAAAGGAAGTAGCTGGTAAACTTTAATTAACTACGATAAGACTACCTCCGTCTCTGTTTTCCAAATATAGTTAGAATTTGAATTTGAATAACAAACAACCAGGTCAGCGTACGCCAAAAAGCAGCAGCTATACAATTGATCACTCTGTTGCTCGAATTCTGAGGGATAGTAGCACCAATCAATGATACGTTTATTCCTAAAGAATCTTTTATGGTGCAAGCGGTAGAGTCTTACCGCCTGTGACCGGAAGGTTCCGGGTTCGAGTCGTGGTCTCCTCGCATTGCATAGGCGAGGGTAAGGCTTGCCACTAACACCCTTCCCCAGACCCCGCACAGAGCGGGAGCTCTCTGCACTGGGTACGCCCTTATTCCTAAAGAATCTTTTATACTAATTTGGTGCTATACCTAAATCTAGAGCCAGATAGATGCAGAGATATCAATACCAAAAACCTGGCTAGCAAGAAGAAAAGGCAAAGAGCAAATCAGTTTGGATCGTAAGTCTAGTAAATGTCAGCTCAACACAAAGTGGACAGCTAGAGCCTAGAGTACTCAGTACTCACTACAAAACAAAGACAAAGATGCGCCAAGAAAAAAAAATTATACACAAGGTGCTAATATAGTTTCACAGAACAATGGTATCACTTGCCATCTGGTCAAATTTATATGCCTGGTTCAAAATAGAAGCTTCTAGGTGTAATTAAATTTAAGAAGTATGAATTATAAAAGACGAGCAGTCTCAGAGCATGTACAGAAGTTCATCATTTTGAACGTTTTGAGTTTCGAACAGTTAGGTTCATAACAGTAGACTAATCAAATATATTACGAATTAACAGAACAGCATTAAACTAGCATATATCAACAGACAATGTGTCACTTCAAATATGAGCATGTGACACTAAATATGCAAGAAAATGAGCAGTTGACACCCACTGTCCACTTTTGTGGTACCCTCGTCACAGAGAATGCCAGAAGCTTGTCGCCACTTGATCCACTCTGCTTTGATTCTATAGCTAACGTCCACATCAATATCTCTATCCCTCTGTAGCATCGATCCCAGATACCGAAAGGTATCCTTCTTAGGCACTACTTGACCTTCCAAACTCACATCTCTCTCATGTGCAGCTCCGCCAAAGTCGCATCTCATGTATTCGGTTTTAGTTCTGCTCAATCTAAAACCTTTAGACTCAAGGGTCTGCCGCCATAACTCTAGTTTCCTATTTACTCCCGCCTGGCTTTCGTCCACTAACACTACATCATCAGCGAACAACATACACCAAGGGATATCCCCTTGTATGTTCCTGGTAACCTCATCCACTACCAAGGCAAAGAGATACGGGCTTAAGGCTGACCCTTGATGAAGTCCAATTTTAATCGGGAAGTAATATGTGTTACCATCGTTTGTTCAAACACTAGTCACAACATTGTTGTACATGTCCTTGACGAGGGTCACGTACTTTGATGGGACTTTAAGTTTGTCCAAAGCCCACCACATAACATTTCTTGGTATCTTGTCATAAGCCTTCTCCAAGTCAATGAAAACCATGTGGAGGTCCTTCTTCTGCTCTCTAAACCGCTCCATAACTTGCCTTATTAAGAAGATTGCTTCTGTGGTTGACCTTCCGGGCATGAAACCAAATTGGTTTATTGATATCTGTGTCGTTCCTCGCAGGCGCGGCTCGATGACTCTCTCCCATAACTTCATAGTGTGGCTCATCAACATAATTCCCCGATAATTAGTACAACTTTGGATATCTCCTTTGTTCTTGTAGATTGTTACCAATATGCTTCTTCTCCACTCCTCAGGCATATTATTCGATCGAAAGATATTGTTGAACATCTTAATTAGCCATACTATAGCTATATCCTCGAGACATCTCCACACCTTGATTAGGATACCATTAGGGCCCATTGCTTTACCCCATTTCATCTTTTCAAGGCTTCTCTGACCTCCGATTCTTGAATCCTACACACAAAGCGCATGTTAGTGTCATCAAACGAGTCGTCCAGCTGAATGGTGGTGTTCTCGTTCTCACCATTGAACAATTTATCAAAATACTCTTGCCATCTATGTCTGATCTCATCCTTCTTCATCAAGAGCTACTCCCTCTCATCCTTTATGCACTTGACTTGGTTGAAGTCCCTTGTCTTCCTATCGCGAGCCCTAGCCATCCTATAAATGTTCTTCTCTCCTTCCTTCATACTCAAACGTTGGTAAAGGTCCTCATAGGCCTGCCCCTTTGCCTCACTCACCGCTCGTTTTGCAGTCTTCTTTGCCACCTTGTACTTCTCCATGTTGTCTGCACACCTGTTATGATACAAGCGCTTATAACACTCCTTTTCCTTAATAGCCTTTTGCACATCTTCATTCCACCACCAAATGTCTTTCGAGTCGCATCCGCTCCATTTGGTCACTCCAGGCACCTCTGAAGCAACCTTCCAAACGCATGTTGCCATCTTCTCCCACATGTTGTTTGCATCGCCTTCGTCCTTCCAAGGGCCGTCTTCAATGACCTTTTCCTTAAAGACCTTTGATGCCTCCCCTTCTAATTTCCACCACTTCATTCTAGCAACCCTAGCTTGTTTGTTCCCACGAGCTTGCACCGGAAAGCGGAAGTCAGCCACCACCAGCTTGTGTTGAGCGTCCACACATTCTTCAGGTATCACCTTACAGTCCACGCATGTTCGTTTATCCCTCCTTTGTAAGGACAAAGTCGATTTGACTAGAGTACTGGCCGCTACTAAAGGTCATTAAATGGGATTCTCTTACGAAAAGAAAGTGTTAGCTATCATCAGATCAAAATCTATGGCGAAGTCTAAGACTTCCTCTCCCTCCTGGTTCCTACTACCATATCTGAAACCCCCATGAACCGCCTCGAAACCTGCACTTGATGTACCTATATGGCCATTAAGATCACCTCCTGTAAAGAGCTCGCTACTAGAGACAGCTCTAACCAAGCGATCTAAGTCTTCTCAAAAAAGCCGCTTAGCACTCTCATCATGGCCTACTTGGAGGGCATACGCACTAATTACGTTTAAGACCATATCACTAATGACAAGTTTAACTAAGATGATCATATCCCCTTGCCTTCTCACCTCTACCACACCATCCTTGAGGCTCTTATCAATCAAAACTCCTACTCCATTTTTATTTGAAGTTGTCCCTGTGTACCAGAGCTTGAAGCCGATATTGTCAACCTCCTTCGCCTTCTGCCCCTTCCATTTAGTCTCTTGGACGCATAAGATATTTACACGCCTCCTAACCGCTGTGTCCACTAACTCTTTTAACTTACCCATAAGGGACCCTACGTTCCAGCTACCTAAACGGATCCTAGTTGGCTCAACTAGCTTCCTTACCCTTCGCACCCGCCGAGGTAGGTGTGAAGACCCTTGCTCATTTTGCACCACACCCGGGCGCCGATGTGGCGCGCCACTAAGGATGCGACGATCCGATCCTTGCTCACTTGACACTGTGCCCAGATCGCGACACGGCGCGTCACGGGGGTGATGACCCGGCCCTTGCTCATTTACCTATGAACACTTGGACAACCATATACAATTTATCTAGGGAATATCTCTAATCCTTATCCTAAAAAATGTTTCTGTAACCAACAGATAAACTTTCTAATAAGTTGGGAAAACTACTGTGTGTCATTTTAAGATTGCAGAAGTAAAAGCCTTATCACATTAAATCATGCGAACGGAGACTCTAGTCAAACCATAGTTACTTTTATTCAGTAGATCAACGTCACTGATTATAGCAATTATAAGCACTACTTGATTTTACTTACAAGCCAACAACAAAGGCTATTCTTTCATGTGCCCTAGTCAGAACAACCAAGCAAGTCACCACCAAGACTACACATTTATTTCTTACCCATGTTCTGTGCAAAGAACTAGAGGACGAAGCCAATGAGTTACATTTTCGCTAGTGTATATATAAACTTATACAAAGGCATAAGGTATCACATTGGTCTTCCGACTTCGAGTTAAAAAAAAAAAGCTTATGCAGCTAGAAAAAGGGATAAAATATTAAGATTAATGGGTGAGCAAAATATAATACGTGAGCCAGAAGATGAATTTGGCTTGCTCATGTGAGCTTAACAACCAGAAACATTAGCATCCTCTGTAAGTCAGACAAGAAAGTTACACCCAAAAAAAAAAGGGTGTACCCAGTGCAGAGAGCTCCCGCTCTGTGCGGGGTCTGGGGAAGGGTGTCAGTGACAAGCCTTACCCTCGCTTGTGCAATGCGAGGAGACCGCGACTCGAACCCGGGACCTTCCGGTCACAGGCGGTAAGACTCTACCGCTTGCACCAGGCCCGCCCTTCAAAGTTACACCCAAAAGCTTTCTAGAAAAAGCAAGGAACTAATAAAGCTAGTTCCATAAAGGACATGATTCTTTCTCTGCGCACTTGGAAGTTATAGTGGTTTGCAAATCCAAAAAAAAAAGGTTATCTGATTTTGAAGAATTTACCAAAGTTATTGGACATTAAATGCAAATGATTGCTGCGTTAATGCAGAATATACCTGGCCTATAGATGCTACGTTCTCGGTGATTGTGCAGCATGCCAGCATCAGAACCATCTGCTGATGAACTATCTGAGTCCGTATCTGCAAATGTTTCTTAAGGTAAATTCATGTGTTCTCCAAATATTTCCAAACCAAACGATTATAAAAGAAAAATACAGAATCCAAAAGTTTTCTTGTTACAATATCTTAAAATAAGAGAACATTTACCACTAGAGGATGACCCCGAGTCACTGCTAGAGCTTCCAGAACTACTTGATCTACCAGCATTCTCTCCCTTCTGATCTTCCAAATGACCAGGTGATGATTCACCCACAAATCTCTCATTGTCATCTGTAGTTTGAGTAAAGTTAGTTGGTTTTTCACAGTGATAATGGATTATAATAAGAAACGACTGTTGCATTACAAGAATGATTATAATGATACATTTGTTCTTTTCTTAAACAGAAAATGACGAATATAGCAATCATAACAATGGTCTAAAGACACACTACTGGCCCACCTGCTGCATTTTCCTTAGGTAGCTCAACATCGACTGCTTCTGGTTCAGGAATCTGTAACGGAAAGACAACAGTAAGAACCGCACGTGCTATATTCCATAAAATTTAGTGATGGCACCGAATACTATCAACCATAAATCATACCGGCTCTTGTACTGCAGGAATTTGATCCTGATCTGGCTCGTCCTGCCTCACATGTTCTACCTTCTCTGGCTCCTGATCAGGATCAGCTTCATCCGGCCTTACCGCAGAAAGCTCAAGCTCAGCCTTCCGCTTATTCTTAGTTATACTCTTCCTATAGTTTGTCACAAATCTATCAAGCTCCCATAATGTTTCAACATCAAAGCTATCGATATCAACCTCAATCTCATCGTCATGCTGGCTGAGTGACAAGTTCCTCTTCTTTATGATCTGAACAACATTGTCTAGCTTCTCCGGTGGCAAATCCTGGAGGTTATTGCTAAGCCGCTGCTTCTCCCAGAATGTCATATCCCTCTTATTGGGCTCCCTTGCCTTGGGCTTCTTTAAAACTGGGGGTCTGCCAGTGTGTGTCTTCTGGGTAGCCTCCATCCCAGCAGCATGAACTGTGGAATCCGACCTCTCTAATACCCTAGAATTATCTATCTCCTTTGACTTCCTGGGTGCCGCTGAGGATGGTGTTGGAGGCTGTGGTGATAGCTGAGCTACCTCAGCCTCAATCTCCGGCCACTTCTCCTCAAACATGTTCAGCAGCTGCTCGGCCATGAAGTGCACGTCCTGCCCCTTGGGGTTGTACGTCATGGCATTCTGGAACGTCAGACGCACATCACCTGCGAATTCCCGAGGTGACTTGTACTGTCCGGCCCCTAGCTTTGACTTGACTGTGCCGAGGTCCATGGGCTTGGTGATGATTGTATGGTAGTCGTGCAGGCCAAGCGCGCTCGCGTCTACCGGCTTGTTGAACACCCAGCTGTGCTTGTGCTTCATCAGCCTCTGGAGCAGCGCGGAGCAGGTCTTGAACACGGGCGCGTAAAGCTTGCGCCGCGCCTCCGCCGAGAGGTGCGGGTGCGGGTGCGGGTGCGGGGCTCCCCCGCCCTTCTTGGACTTGTGCTTGGACGCCGGCGGATGCGGCGGGAGCGGCGTGGAGGGGTCGGTGGCGGAGAGCGCCGAGGAGGGGGCGGGAGCCGGGAGGGAGTTGAGGCGCTTGGCGGCGGCGCGCACCTGGGAGAGCTCGGCGGAGAGGCGGCGGCGCAGCTCCAGGCGGGAGGCGGTCGTGGAGGGCAGCGAGAAGGTGACGGTGGGGAGGAGCGGGCCGTTGTGGGCGTCGAAGGAGGGGACGCTGGGAGCCTTGGAGCGGGCGTGAGATTTGCGGGAGTAGGGTTTGCCGGACGGCGAGGGCGGCCCGGAGGCCATTCTGGGCGGGTCAACGGCTGCGGCGGATCGAGGACGGCGGCGGATCGGAGGCGGGGATTTGGGGATTTGGGGCGGAGGAGGCGGAACAGGGAGGGGTTCGGTGTGCTGGTGGTGGGGGCAAGGCAGGCAGCTGCTGGTACTGTGCAAAGTGCAGGAGAGAGAGGATCAATTTTTTCCTTTTCCTTGCTCTGTTTTGCCCCCTCTTTTGTTCCTCAACTTTCCATTGCTGGTAAAAAATTATTTTGATCTTGGTTCCTTTTATCTGAACCTAGTATAACATTATACCCTCTCGGATTCAGAATACAAGTCGATAAAGACATCATCAATACGGTCAGAGTACATCATATTCGTTAATTGCATTACCATGTTATCTCATTAAAAATCTTGAGTGAAAAAACTTCAAGTAAAAACTCACATAGGGAAAAAAAAAGCACAACATTTAATCTTCTTGGTCATATATACTTCAGGATATTCTATTCATACATAGGGAAAAAGAGCACAACATTTAATGTTTTAGCAAAATGATCTGCTTAGATCTTTGTCATTCTATTCTAGTGGTTTTAATTACCTTCAAGGTAGATTCAATTAAATTGCTCCCCCACATAAAGTCATCCTTTGAGCATCATTGTTCAAACCACACTTTTCATAAATGTGTGCTTAATAATGGTATGTAGTACCACAATACCATATCTTTTAAAATATTGGCCTAAATTATTATATGAGTAAACAAGAATAATATGCTTCATGCATAAATGACCACTTATTAGTTGTGCAAACAAATAAAATTTATCCTTCAGGATAATAAATTCTTTTAGAGGATTATGTGGGTAAATAGTTTACAATATTCAATATCTTCTAGATAGTGTATCAAACTTATACTAGAGTTTAAATACTTATAATTATTCCTCAGTGGATTTTTAAATTATATGTTCTACAAATCTTCAGGATTCTGATTATACCACTAAATAATAAATTCAATCTTGTATTTCACATTTAGGGGATAATCCAATAACCAAAATCACCATTATTTATACCTTCTATGGTATTTAGAGGATATAAACACTTCATTGCTAGGTTTACGATATACACTTTCTGAGTTGTATGACACCTTCATGGTGTTTAAGATTCCTTATTTCCTTTCTCTTGGGTCTATATTCACTTCAGAGATTAATGGTGTTTATTCAATAATTGACTAGTAAATTCTTCATGGATTAAATCCTTCAAGGATATTCTCATTCTAAGTGAGCAACATTTCTCTTTTATGAGATATATTCTCTTCTTCATGAGATATTACTATGTGATATACATAATCAAATAGTGTCATTCACTATAAAGTCATTCTATGACTTTATTCCTTCTAGGACATGCTCTTTTTGAGACTTCAATATTCATTCAGGAATATTATTCTACCTTAGACTTTTAATACTTGGTATGAGATTTCTATATGTTGAGATTTATATTCCTCAGGAACTATTTGGATCTTCATAACCCATTTATTAACTACATATTTTATATTCATGAATTTCATTTGCTAGAGATATAGCAGAACATTTATTTCTTCTCAGTAGAAGATTTAACCTCGATTGCTTTCTTTCATTTACCTGATATAATCGCTGCAAGCGACTTTGCCATGGACTTTGTTTTCCATATCCGGGTTCTCTCATAAGAAAAACATTTATAATTATAGAGGTAGTGTTGTCGACAACTATTATTTTCTTTCAATATTCTCACAATGTGAGATTATTCTATCTCTTTGTCATTTCCCAAACAAGAGATTTCTGCATACCCAACACTAATGATGTGCGCACATAGTGTGTTGGTTTTAATCTTCATGATGCCCCCTTCATGAGGTGCTTAACCTTCTTTATGAGGTGTACACTTCATGAGAATGGAGGAGTCTATTCTTATTTTATTTAAAAATATATACTAAACTAGAACCCACAGGCGTCTCCGTAGATTTTAGCTTGATAGTTTACAACATTTAGTTTACTAATAGTAAACACAACTTTTGGTTTGTAACTTCAAGTTACTCCTCTCGTTTTTCAAAAATATCTGGCATATGCTCCGATTCATGCTTCACAAGAGCATTAGTCAAACTATTGTTTGATCTAGTGCATGGTACTATTCCTGCTTTAAGTTTTAAGGAATATTTTTCTCTTAATGTCATTTTTCTTCCGTGTAAATAATATTTGGCACTCAAAATAGGTTTTCTCTCCCCCTAATGCCAATACTATTAGATCTTTAATAACATGCTTCGGATGATATCCCCTATCATGAGCTCAAAAATCAAATTCATGTATCTCCAACTACAAGTGGAGGCCCATCCATGTATGCTACGATAGAAATTTATGTGAAATATTAACACACATATTTAAACACGGGGGTTATTACTAATGCAGCGAGCTAGAATACATAAAGTGCACTTAAGAATGTTTGGCATTCCTACAAACTCAGGGATGTACTCCCCCTGATTTGCACATATCATAGTTTAGAAAACTATTTCATTGTCTAGCTTCTTTATTGTTTATCCAAAATAATTGATCCAAGTACTCATACATAAAAATAGACCATATACTTCAAAAATATAGAATACGCAACATTCAAACTCACATGAAATTTCTTTTAGACTTTCTAATTGTCATTAATGCAAAATTGTCTAAATGCCTTTTCTTCTTAAATCTCAAATCATCATAAGTGAGTTATCCACCATATTAATTCCATAATTATTTGTCCCATCAATTGGGATAGTCTCTATTGAGCAAATTTCATATTAACTCACTCCTCTGATCTTGGGCTGCTTGGCCCTAGACCAATCTATTGCTTATGCATACGATGCATTGAAAAAGCAAATTATTCCATAATTCAACGAGAACTATATAGACATAGCATGTTAGCTAGCCAATTTAATTATGAGGGAAGTACAAAGGTAGCTACTAGCTATAACTATAGTTGCTATGCTAATATTCATGTAAGAGTGGAGATAGTTGTAGCTCGACGAGAGTGCACAACATAGTGATACACATTCATGTGTAATGTGGAATGTTGGTATTCAATCCAACATAATAGATAACAACAAAATATAAAGCTACAAGCTTACTTGCAATTAGTGCAATGTAGAGAAAGTTAACTCGACCGGAAAGAACGCGGCTAGGACTTCAAGTCATGATACATGCACTTAAAGATAGATTTAGGAAGGATATGCCTATTAAATATACATTACCCATATTTTCTTATGCCTTTACCCAAAATTCCTCCTCCTTTTCATATCATAATTACTTCAAGTTGTAATATGTTTTATGCATCATCTATGAATAGTCATTTCTAATGTAAAATAGAATCCAGTCATACTTCTAGTATAGATTGGTGTTGGCATAAAATTCATATATCTAGTGTACTATTCAGTGTACGACTACATATTCAGGGTAGAATGTAAACTTCTTGTTTTCGAGCTGAAGTATTAAATACTTAGTTTTAGGATTATACTATTTATTTGACTAAATTGATCCTTCTAAGATCAGTTAATATGTTAGTATAGTCCAATTGTTCATGTGCTTCTAGAAATTCGATTTCCTTTCAACCTACATGGTAGTAGTGCACAAAGAACTATAACATTCATGATTAGTTGAGGCTTCTTTGTGGATAAAATTAATTCAAAACTTGTTTAGATAGGCAAAAATAGGCAATTATTTATATGTGAAACATATAAATTTTTTATTTATTCCATGCAAGATTGACACATATTACTACAAGTAATAATTGCAACTAAGAACATTAAATGCTTTATATTAGTCTTCAAGCTAATAAAGTAACCATTAACTCTTCTCCGAGTTTACATAATCCACTTAATTCAATGGGAATTTAAGACTTAGACCACCACCACCACTACTATCAATACTTCAGGATATGAATTTTAAAAACAACAAATCTATAAGTACACGATTTAAGTTCTTCTTCAAGAGAAACTTTAAATGTTGTAATTTCTCATTCTTACATGTCTTAGCTTCAATGCTTGACATTTAGCAGCTTCATGCTTGCTCAATCCTTCTAGGAGTATAATATATGCAAGTCACATATCCTGATTTATAGAGCTATCTAAAAATTCTGACTCAAATTCTACTTGATATTGAGTAATTATGGATGATATTTGATATTTCTAGTACTTCAATGCTCTTGCTCTTCTATTTCAAGAAACATTTCTTCTAGAATTAGACAAATTCGTCTTTATCATCTCATCTTCTATGAGTTTTAACACAAAGCTTCAAGCTAATTGTATTTGTTTATAGAGTAGCATTTATATCCCATATGGTCATATAAGCTTGAAAATTCAATTTCCAATATTTCTAACATTATGCAATCATCATAATTTAGGATATCTTCTAGAATTTCTCATACAGTGAGTCCCATAAGACCTTTAGAATTTATTATGGCTACATACTTATTCTTGAGAGTAATATCAGGAACTATAGTGCCTGAGTCTACTCCACTTTAGTGGTAGTAGAATATCCTATTAGGATTTAACAATGACCATGGTGTATAATTCTATCTTTCAGAGCAAGTCTAAGATATTCCTTCTTTAGGATGGTATGCATATATATTAGTATAACTAGAATTATCATGTGCGTATAAGTTTACTATGTGTAAACAAGTAGGAAGGTGCAAAAAGATAGTGGATGGTTATACAAAATATTCTTCGAAGTATCCTAACATCTTTTAGGATTATGGTATATATAAATTTTTAGAATTAATACCAAACATTCATTCATTCCAAAAATTCATTATGCTAGAAAAAACATGGAACAAATATTGTAAATGCATTAAATGGATATTGAAGTCTCAAGAAGAGCATGCCCTAAAAGAAAAAGAGTCATTGAAAGACTTTGTAGTGAATAACACTATTTCATTATGTATATCACATAATAATCTCTCATGTAGTAGAGACTATATCTCATAGAAGAGAAATATTATTCGTTAAGAATGAGAATATCCTTGAAGGAATTAAT